TGGTGACTTATTGATAAAGAAATTGAACGACTCGGAGCCATCGAGTGGGAAACTTTTCCCGAGTTCGGTTTTGTTCGGGACAAAGGATTATCTGGTAAGGAGACGGTTGGACGGAGGGCAGTATAAGGAAGTTCAATGGTTTGGGGAGAACTTTGGTCTGAGACAGTTCACAGTGGAAACTGAACAAACAAATTCTGAGATTCCAACTCTTCTATCACTTTCACATCCTAATATACTGCAATATCTGTGCGGATTTGTTGATGAGGAGAAGAAAGAGTACTTTCTTATTATGGAGTCGATGACCAGGGATCTTTCTTCCTACATGAAGGATAACAATGGAGCCAGGAGAAGAGTCTTGTTTCCTCTGTATGTTGTGGTTGATATCATGCTTCAAATTGCTAGAGGCATGGAATATCTCCACTCCCGAATGATCTATCATGGAGAGTTAAACCCTTCCAATGTGTTTATGAAGCCAAGGAACTGTTCAGAAGGCTCCTACCTCGTTAAAGTCTGCGGTTTCGGTTTATCGTCAGTCAAGAATCCACCTCTCCGAAACTCAACGAACCAAATAGAAACCAACCCTTTTATCTGGCATGCCCCGGAAGTTATGGCGGAGCAAGAACGACAAGGTCCAGGAACAGGAACTGTTTCTTCTTGCAAGAAAACGGAGAAAGCAGATGTTTACAGTTTTGGGATGCTTTGTTTTGAGCTTTTGACTGGAAAAGTCCCATTTGAGGACAGCCATCTACAAGGGGAGAAGATGAGCCGCAATATAAGAGCAGGGGAGAGACCCCTCTTCCCATTTCCAACTCCAAAATATTTGGTGAGCCTAACCAAAAAATGCTGGCATTCTGACCCTTCTCAGCGGCTGTCTTTCTCTTCGATTTGTCGAATACTCCGTCAGGTGAAGAAATTTCTCGCCATGAACCCTGAAAGCGATCAACCTGATCTGCAAATGCCTGCCGTTGATTACTGTGAAATCGAAGCGGGAGTTTTGAGGAACTTCTCCTCAGATGGGGTTGGAGATTTGTGTTCAGTCTCACAAATTCCATTCCAAATGTTTGCTTACAGACTAGCAGAGAAGGAGAAGACAAATCCAAGCAAAATCAAGACTTGGGACTCAGCAAGTGATGTGGTCTCCATGAGCAAAGATGATTGTGCATCCATTTACAGAGATGACACAGCTTCTGTAATAGAAGATCCTTTCACCATCCCTGCAAGTGACACTAGGTCCCTTTATTCTGATATGAGATCTGTATATTCTGAAGCTCCATCCAAGAAAATGTCAGCCACAAAGAAACTTCCAGACACAAAGATCAGAAAAGCCACAGGTTAGAATTTTGGTTTCCTTTATTCAAAACTTCTTATTAACAAATAGAAATTTTGGCCATAACTGAAGAATGCTTGTGGTTTGGTTTTACACAGGAACCCCGGAAACAAAAACACGAGTGGCTTCGCGAGCGACTACACGAGCTCGAATATTGAAGACTAACAAAGATATCCTGCTACCATTTTCGAGCCCTTTGAGCAAGGGAAGAAGAAGACCAAATGGCCATGTCTCGGATTCGGAAATTCGCTAGCTT